GACTTCGTGTGTCCATAACACAAAGAGGGATGCTCTCTCAGCCTGGCGTATTAGGGGAGTGCCTGGACCCTGCCAGGAGTTAAATGACAGACAATGGATATCCCCTATGTAGAAGGAAGTGGGGAGGTGTGGAACTGGGATGTTGGGGGCGCCAGAGGAGGGGAAGTAGAGGGAATTCGGATTGACATGTGAAGCAAGCTATTTAATATTACAGTAATAATAGAAAATAAATTAAAATAATGAATCAGAATGAACTGTTTCCCTTCCTTACCAGAGCCTAGATGGCCTAGAACCTCAGTGTCTCATCTGCACATAAAGAAGTTTATTCCTTCTAAATAGCACTTAGCCAATAAAGATGGTCCATTTAAAACCATCTGTTCTCATCCCACAGGCATGTGAGGCTAAAGAAGATGACAAATTTGGCAGTTTGTTCACTAAAGTTTTCCAAATTCATTAATACTGACTGATATCTTATTTTCCATTAGTAAAGAAATGTTAGTATTTCTCTGTTTTGCCAGTGAGTTATGTTTCATATGTGCTTGTGTGTCTTAGGTGTTAGTGGGTACCTCTGTGAGATAGCTCTGGTATTTTATCTACCCATGAAAAATTTTATGTTTTAATATTATTTTAATTCACTCTCTGTGTGTGCCCTGAGTATATATAAGTGAACTAGATTTGTGAAGGAACCCTTGGATCTGTTTTGTAGGAGTTGTGAGCTTTCATTTAGATTCTGGGAATTGATCCTCGGTTATGAGTTTTATGTCTGACCTTTGGAACCAAACTCATGATATAATATTTATGCCTTAAGGAACGTATCTTCTGAAATAGCAGTGAGTTCTACCTGGAGGAAATGGTGAACAGAAGCTCACTGTGTTTCAGAGACACCTTACTTACTCCAGTCTGTGAGTTCCACAGATTGCACTCAGATCCTAAGTTAGTGTACACGTGACGTTAAATCGTGACCTAATTCAGCCACAAATAATTAGCTGGCGAAATGTCTAGTGATGAGAGCCAAGCAATGGAATATTATCTACAGATAAATACCAAAAGGGGAATATTTTTCTAAAAATGATTTCACAATGACATGAAGCTAATTTACAGCATCAGTTAAAACATGCTAGAGAAAAGAAATTCTGTGCAAATGGAGGTAATGTTAGACTTGGATATATTTGTCAGTTCACATGTACTGGTACCCTGTTACTATTCCTGCTAGTATTACGTCAACCTGATACAAAAACCAGGTTACCTAATACAAGGGGGCCTTAATTGAGAAAAATGCCTCCATAAGATCCAGCTATATGTCATCATGTTAATTAGCGATGAAGGCAGGTTCAACTCATTGTGTGTGGTTCCGTCAGTAGTGTGGTGGTTCCAGGTTGTATAACAGCACACAAAGCCCCCCTCCATGGCTTCTGTACAAGCTGTTGCTTCCATATTTCTGCCCTGCTTAACTGTCCTGACATTCTTAATGACAAACAGAAATATGGTAATCTAAGCCAAAGAAACCATTTTTGGTCCAAAATATTTTGATTATAGTGTTTCAGTACAGAAAGTAACACATGGATATTCTGATGACTTCTGCAAAACCTCATATCTACTAATTATGTAGCTATGCTGTCTGTACTCCTTCTTGCCAGGAGAATTTGCTTATTCTTGAACACCACATGGTTTGCTGTTATTCACATCGTTATAAAAGCATTTTGGCAAAAAGTAGAGTTTTTCATTCTTTTCCAAACTATTTACAGAGTTTGTTTTTCTTTTTAGGGTATACGCATTTTGCCTGCCTATATGTATTTTTCTGTTGTTTGGTTGGTTGAATAGATTTACTCACTGTACCAGGTGTGCACCGCATTCTTGACTGTCCATGTCTTTCCAACACTGGCTAGAGCATTGCTTAGTATTGAACCTAAGTGCCAAAAATGATTCTCTCTGGAATACACTATGCACTCCAAGGATTCATGGAGAAAGTTCTTCCCCATTCTTCCTAGATGCTTTTATTATTTTGTTTGTGTAATTTATGCTTATTTTCATTCCAAGATATGATTCAGATAAAGTGACATGAAATTATTTATGTCTTTGAGGCAAACAGCATTAGGAGCACATGATTGCTATGAAAGTAATAACTGCTATATTGGAAAGAGGCCAGAGGGTAATAAATTTAAAAGTTGAGTGTGTGGAGTCTGATCAAAATCATAGGATTGACTGAACCAGGTTGCACAGAATGCAAAATGTATTTTCACACTCCACACCAGTTGAGTATTTTTCCTTTCATGTGAAAACATTGGGAACAGCAGAGTGAAGAAATAGGTAAGTAAGGGCATTTTGATTCTATTGCTAGTGTTTTCAATTTGAACCTAAAAATCTTCATGCATAAAAGGAGCCACTTCAAGCTGTGTTGGGGCTAAATCTAATTACTCTAGGTGGCACCCTCTCTAGGGACCATGCTTGATACTATAAGGAGGGAACTCATTCCATGAAGAGGCTACTTTCTGGTTTGATGGCCCCATTCTATACACTCTGTGCAAATATGATTCCTTATGGAGCCAAAGTTTCCCCTTCATGCTACACATTTTTAGGGCTTGTAATGTCTTTTTCTGTTTACTTTATCCCACTTCTTATGTCACTAAAAGACCCTAGGCTTCAAATCCTAAGTAAAGATCCTGAAATTTACTCAATTCTTATAATAGTGTAATGAAGTCAACAGTCATAATTCTGCCAAAAGGAAATTTCACATTTCAAATAATACATACTTTACATGAATATGTGAAACATGGACACGTGGGTCTATTTTTCTAAATTCTGTAGGAGAATCCATGCGAAGTGTTTTTAAACACCCTGATATTCATTCTCCCTGAGCTGATAGCAGAGGAAGAAGAGATTTGTGAGATTTAAACTCCTCACACTTGTTAAGAACTTGAATATAATTGTGACTGAGATCTAAAGAAGGTAGATGCCCAGGGACTGTGAGGCTAGCATTTAAAACATACCTACTTTAATGTACGTGATTTTTCTGATATGAATGTATGTTCAACACATGTGTTTCTATTATCTATGGAGGTCAGAACAGTGAGATAGGTCACCAGGAATGTCTGTTATCAACCAATTTTGTGCAGGGAAAATCTCCTGGGCCCTCTGCAGAACAAAATTCAGCAGTATTTCTTGAAACCTGGGATAACTCTACACTCTGAGCACTTTTTGGAGAATACACTTTTGAAGACACAGATCATATGGTAAAATTTCATAAGTTCTTAGACTTTGATGTCTGCTTATGCTTCCATCAGTTCCCGTATAAAGGCTTTAGACTCCCCCCCTGTCTCCAAATTTGTTCAAGAGATCTTCCCCATTTTGCCTTTTCTGTATTTCTCTTTTAGGATCCTCATTTTTCCTAGCTTCTCTGGAATTGTGGATTGAATACTGAAAGCGTGAATAGAGTAAACATGGTATGTTTACAGAATGGAGACTCCTCAGCAGGAAAAAAAACAAAAAAACAATGGAATCTTGAACCTCGCAGGCAAGTGAATGGCACTAGAAGAAATCATTCTGAGTAAGATAATCAAGTCACAAAAAGACAAACATTGTATGTACTCACTCATGAATGGATTTTTTACATAGAGCAGGGCTTTGCTAGTCAAAACCCACATCTCGGGATGTCTGAGAATACAATGAGGAAAAAACAAATATGTGCATGTTCCCTCAGAGAAGTGGAATGTGATGGGATATCCTGAGGGGATTAGAAACATGAAGTGAGGGGAGAGGAAGGTTGGAGAAAGAGAGGAGGAGAAGAGAGTAGGACATGGTGGAGCAGGTAGTTTGAGTCATGGAGAAACTATAGGTTTTAGCAGAAAATTAGCATTACAGAGGTTTTCAGAGGTCAAGAAGGATGACATCTACTGGCAAACTAACCAAAAGTGGGGAGACCAAATGCCCTCCCCCATAATGAGACTGATGACTACCTTGTATGCCATCATAGAGCCTTCATCTAGTGCCTGGTGGAAGCACAGGTAGACACACACAGCTAAGCACTTAACTGAACTTCTGGAAACCAGTTGAAGAAATGGAGAAATGATGACCAAAGTAGTCACGACCTGGCTAGTGACAGCCACAGAGGTTGATGACGTGAACAAGGGGGGGAGCTCCTGGATTGCAGACTGGTGATTGATAGGGCAGCATTGTACTGATAAGGAACCCTTGAAAATGGGTGTCAGTGAGGAGGCCTCATCAATCTATGGGGTCTTTGATAGTAGAACAGTATTTAGCCCTGGCATACAAATGGATTTTGGGAGTTAATTCCACTAGGAGGGATGTTGTCTCAGGCTAGATACATGGAGGAAGGACGAGAACCTGCCAGGAGTAATATGACAGACATTGCAGATTCCCCATGGAGGGCCTCACCCACTCTGGGGAGCTGAGGTGGAATGTGTTGGGGGCTCAAAAGATGAGGGAAGGATGAGAGATTGGGATTGACATGTCAAACAAGCTGGTTTCTAATTTAAATAAAACAAAATAAAATTTAAATAAAGAAAAGAATATCTTATGTGGTGGGAATTGAACTGCCTTCATTAACAATCTGCAGGTGGATTTCTGTGAGTCTCGAGGCCAGGCTGGGCCGACAGCCTCCAAAACAATACAGAGAAACCTTGTCTCATAAAACCAAAAAAAAAAAAAAGGTTAACTTTGATGCACGAATGTCATGGTTAGTTTTGAGTAGACATACCATTTGATAATGAATTCCAAAAAGGTATTTAAACTGTTCAAAACAAACTTGAGAGACAATGTTATCATCTGTAAAATGAAATATTGGAATTTAATATTTGAATATGGAAACCAATGGGAATGTTTTTGGAGACATTTTGAGGCATCAGTTTCACATTGTGTCACGGCTTTAAAAAGTATATTATTTACCCAGGGTGAGAAATATTTTCACCTGTGTCTACCCCTCAGATTCCATTCAGTCTTTCAAATACAGGTGTCAGTTTGTTTTAGTTAATGATCAGGGTGGATTGAAAATGCCTGTGCAAAGTATAAAGCAGAGTGCTGAAGTCACAAACCCAGGTTGTAAGATAACCAACATCTTCTGGAATAACAGATTCTGTGAATGCAGGAAAGGAAAATCTAAGGGTTGATCACTTTCTGAAAGTTCATGGTTTTTTATTCTGTTGTAGAACAATGTAGAAACTGAGGATATTTTGAAGCTAGTTTCCAGACTCTGAGTGTCATAGCTTGGAATAGAGGTGCTTTTGCCTTATAAGCAGTATAATATCAGGAAGGAAAACCTTTAAGATAACCTTATTGAAAGGATCCACAAGGAAGGGGATTGACAGATGGCTTGCGCTCAGGTAAATATATGCACAAGGATGTGAAAATTTGACAGTCCACAGAGAAATGTTTAATTTTCAGTGTTTGACATATATTGTTTGAAATCTGTCTTCATGTTATATTTTATTTTCAATAGAAACTCTTTATTATCACTCTCATTTGTAAGTTATATCTTGCTTTCCCATTTCAATGTCTATTTTCAAACATTATATATACATATATATACATATATATATATATATATATATATGCATGTCCTGAGAGATTTACAAAATTTCTGATATTAGAGATGAATATTGATACTCAATTCTTACCTACTACCACTTCAGATGAGAAAATGTACTCATTTCATGAGAATTTTAGATGTTGGGTACTTTGTTTTCTGTTAAAAAGTCACAGCAACCTCACTCCTAACACATAACATTTACAAATCGCATATCAATTACTGATAAAACAGCAAGATATATACTTAAATTATCCTTCATTTGGGGCAAATAAGGACTCTAACCATAATCACAAGGGGAAAAATTTTCATTTCAGAGTCAGTTGACTTTTGAGGATGTGGCTATCAGTTTCTCCAAGGAGGAATGGAAGAGCCTGCATACTTCTCAGAGGGAGATGTACAGAGATGTCATGTTGGAGAATTATAGCCATCTGGTTTCTGTAGGTGAGAATAAATTATTTTCTGAATGCTGCTTAAACACAGGAATGTGAGAAAACTTATATTATAATTTTGAAATATTTTCTATGAATGAAACCATCTCCCAATTTTCCTACATATTGGTAAGTGTAATATTTACTTCACTTTTAATATATCATTTATAACGGTCATTTAATTTAGCCTAACAATTCTCTCCCATATGGTATTTTTTGCAGAAATTCAGTAGCAATAATATGTGAAAACATTTTGAGTCCAAGAGATTTATATTTGTAATTGTGAAATTTATGTGAAGTTGAATCTGTAAAAAAATAAAAAATTAATTTCTTATGAGTTTACAACACCTGTCAATTATGCACTAATAAGTCTGCACTTATGAATCTTTCCTTATATTCCTTTATGTTAAATGAGTACAAGCCTGTGTTGCCAACCAAATCTTTTCCACGTTATGTTTAGAAATTATGGTACGTCTCTTCTAATTCTTAGGTCTTTCTGATTCAAAACCAGAACTAATCACCTATCTTGAACAAAAGAAAGAACCCTGGATGGAGAATATACAGGAAGTAAAAGGTCTGGAACCAGGTAAGCTGAAAGGAACCAATGGCTCATGTGTGGAATCCAAAAAAAGGAATGAACAATTAAAGTAGTATTAGCTTTGATCCCTTCTAGAAGTGTAGACAAAGTATTTCTTTCAGTATTTTATACTAGGATATAGCATACACAGGATTTTACATGTTTTTCCTTTGTTTTGTCAGAATAGTTATTATAAAATAATTAGCATGCCAATAGCAATTTGGCAATGTATATATGGTATTTGTGTGTTTGTGTGTGTGTGTTCCAAAATATGTTGGAATTGTTCTTCTATATGTCAGCGATAGATTGAATACAATTTCTAGTATTTTTCTCTATTTTTGAATATTTTTAAACTTTAAATTTATTTTTCTTTTATCTACATGAATATCATAGATTTATTGAATTTCCCCAATGTTTCCCCCACACTGTTTTATTCTATCAAAACATGATCAGAAAATTCATAAAAAAATAGAAGAAAATTTGTGAAGGCCAACTCCTTTGGAATGCAATATTTTGAATATGATTGCTATATCCTGGGATTAAGTAAAAGAGAAAAAGTTTTTTCTCCTCCTTGGAGTTATGGACCACTCATATGTTCTTGTCAAAGATGTATAAGATTGGATATATTTTAAATTAACAATACAAAGTTTTGGATATATTTAGCTTTTGTGGGTTTTGTCATTGCTGTTGCAGACTTGGCAATTATATGTTGATTGTTCCTATGCTGTTTTTAAACTCCTCTTTCACTAAAGTCATTTGCTGTTTCTTTCCTTCTCCCTAATTGGAGGGTTATGAACAAAGAAACCCAGACAGGTCTTAGGTCTCCAAACTCTCAATATTACCCTTCTGTAGTGAAGGATGAGTGAGGCACCAATCGATGTTTTCAGCAATATAATATTAGCTTCATGCCAATGTTCCTTAGGTGAAATAATAATGAATTTTTTTATCTAGAGCCCTTGCCAGTTTTGTCTCAGTTCCTTGGCTCTAAAGCAGTGTCAGACATGGATGCCAACAATGCATTAAGACAGTCAAACACTTTTTAGTTATTGCCAAAGCATCAGAGCCACTTTTGAACATATTTTCTAGGTCTGTCAAATATGTGGTCCCATGATCAATAACATGGAAAATTGATGACAATGCTCTCCTTGTATAGCATATATAGTAATTTTCCCTCAATATATGTTTTTATTTAAATTAGAAACATGCATGCTTCACATGTCAATCCCAGCTCCCTCTTGTTTCCTCCTCCCTTGTCCTTCCACCAGCACACCAACTAATCTCCACATGATTCCCCAGGAGGGGTGAGGTCCTCCTTGTGGGGTTTGCCAGTCTGTCATGTCATCCAGGGCAAGACCTAGGCCCTTCCCCATGTGTCCATGTTGAGAAAATATCCCTCCTTGTGAAATGGCCTCCCAAAGTTCATTTGTATGCCATGCTAAACACTGATGTACTAACCAAGGCTACAGAGATTTCTGACGCCTCCTCACTGACACTATATTCATGGAGTCTGGATCAGTAAATGTTGCCTCTCAGCCATCAGACTGGGGTTCAAGAACACCCCCTTGTCCAGGCAGCTGTCTTTGTGGGTTTCACCAGCACAGTCTTGATCCCTTTCCTCATCACTCCTCCATTTCTGTCACTTGTTTCCAGGAGTTCAGTTCAGTGCTTAGGTGTGGGTATCAGGCTTTGCTTCCATTGGTCACTTGATGACGGTTCTAGAATTTCATCTAGAGTAGTCATCAACCTTAACACCAGTGAGGGGCTATATATAAATATAGTCTCTCTGCTATTGATTAGTTTGCCAGTTGGTGTTATGCTTGTAGATATCAGAAATCTCACTAGTGTCAGCTCTCTCCTCAAACCTATAATGACAGCATCTATTATGATATCATTCATGCTGCTCTCTTCTTTTTTACTCAACCTTCCTGCACTCCCATGCCTTCTTCTCCCCTCCTATAATTCTCCTCTCTTTTTTATGGTTCCCTCCCCTCTCTGCAAATGTTCCCAATCTGCTCAGGAGATCTTAGATCATTCCACTTCTCTGCTGTATAATGCATCTCAATTGGGAATCGCCATGTTTCCCAGACACACCCGCATTGGAATTGTAGGCAGATACTCCCCTGATCCATATCTAAATTCCATATGAGTGAGTACATACGATATTTGTCTTTTTGTGACTGGGTTACCTCACTCGGGATGATTTCTTCTAGTGCCATACATATCCCTGCAAAATTTCAAGATTCCATTGTTTTTTTCCTCTGATTAATACTTACCCTTTCCAATACACGCTCATAGCCTTAATTGCTGGCCAGCCTTCAAGGGCTATCTATCAGTACCCCTTTACTTTCCTGACCTCAATAGAACAGGTGAAATGCTGGAGGTTTATTTAATACACCTTCTCTTTAGAAGGTGATCTCTCAAGTAAAAGCCTGGGGATTTGACCATTCAATTTTACTATTAGAAGTTGAGGTACCTGTTTTTAAATTATTTTTATCTTGAGGCTCTCCTCTCCTGAGTCTTCTTTATGGCCAATCTTTCCCAGTCTTTCCAAGTCTCTCTGGATATCGGTGAGACCTCCAATTGTGGCGCTGGATAACCAGATAGATGTCCAGCTGTTTCTACTAAAAAAGTGTCCTTATTTTGCATGTGCTAAGAGGTCTTACAACACAGTAGAAAAACCCCAGGTGGAAGACAGCATGTTTTCTTCCTGCTGGATGTTGATGTCAGTGTGTCAATATGGAGGTAGTAAGCCTGGACTAGAAAAGAGGATGCCCCTGTGGATATCAGCTGACAAACATTTCAAGACCCTGTGGGGGCTAGGCCCCAACAGATGCTATCTATTTTCCATTGTATAATTTTGCCTTCTTTGTCGAATATCAGGTGTTCATAGGTTTGAGGATTAATCTCAGGGTTATCATTTGGTTTCCATTGGTCTATCTGTCTATTTCTGTGCCCATACCATGCTGTTTTCAGGACTATAGCTCTATAATAGACCTTGAAGTACTGGATGGTGATGCATAAAGATGTTTCTTTGTTGAGCAGGGTTGTCTTGGCTATCCTGGGTTTTTTTGTTTTTTCATATAAAGTTGAGAATTTTCCTTTCAAGTTCTGTAAAGAATTGTGCTGTGAGTTTGATGGGGATTGCATTGAGTTGGCAGATTGCTTTTGGCAGGATTGCTATTTTTACTACATTAATCCTATCTATCAAGGAGCATGGAAAATCTTTTCATTTTCTGATGTCTTCTTTATATTCTTTCTTTAAAGACTAAATGTTCTAGCCCACAGGTAATTTACTTGTATGGTTAGAGTTCCCCACAGGTATTTTATGTTGTTTGTGCCAAATTTAAAGGGTGATGATTCGTGCCATTTTATCCTCTGACTGTAGTAGAGCTACTGATTTTCTGGAGTAAACATTGTATCCAGCCACATTGCTGAATGTGTCTATCAGCTGTAAGTGTTCACTGGTAGAATTTTTGTGTCACTTATGTAAAGTAACATATCATTTGCAAATAGTGAATGTTTGACCTCTTACTTTCCAATTTGTATCAATTTGATCTTGTGGCCTTATTGTTGTAGCTAGTTCAGTACAGGATTACAGAGCTATTGGGAGACAGGACAGCTTTGTTTTTTCCTGATTTTATAGGAATTGCCTTGAGTTTCTCTCCATCCAGTTTGATGTTGGCTTTGATTTGCTGTATATAGCTTTTATTATGTTGAAGTAAGTTCCTATTATCCCAAATCTCTCCAAGACATTTATCCTAAAGGGGTGTTGGATTTTGTGAAAGGCGTTTCCATCATCTAGTGAGATGATCATTTGATTTTTGTTTCTCATCTTGTGTATATGGTGGATTATGTTGATGCATTTTCATATGTTGAACCATCCGTGCATCCCTGGAATGAAGCCTTTTTGAACATAGTGGATGAGTTTTCTCATAAGTTCTTGGATCTGATTTGTCAGTATTTTCTTGAGTATTTTTGTGTCAAAGTTAATGAGGGATATTGGTCTTTAAGGTCTCTTTATTAGTTGTGTCTTTGTGTGGCTTGAAATCTCATAAAAAGAATTTGTCAAAGACCCTTCTGCTTCTATTCATTGGAATAATTTGAAGAGAATTGTTATAAACTGTTCTTTGAATTTCTGGCAAAATTCTATACTGAAGCCATCTGGCCCTGAGCTTTTCTTGGTCAGGAGACTTTTGAGCATTGCTTCTATTTTATTAGTTGTTTTAGGTCAATTAAAATTGCTTATCTCTTTTTGATTTAATTTTGACAGGTGATATTTATCCAGAAAATTGTCCATTACCCTTAAATTTTCAAATTTCGTGGAGTATAGCTTTTCAAAATATGACCTGATTATTCTCTGGATTTTCTCACTATCTGTTGTTATGTCTCCCTTTTTATTTCTGATTTTGTTAATTTGTATGTTCATACTCTGCAGTTTGGTAAGTTTGGATAAAGGTTTCTCTATCTTGTTGATTTTCTCAAAGAAGCAACACTTTGTTACATTGATTCTTTGTATCATTTTCTTAGACTCTACTTCATTGATTTCAGCCTTCAATTTAATTATTTCCTGGTTTCTGCTCCTCTGCTGTGTGTTTGCTTCCTTTTTTCTTGAGCTTTCAGTTGTGCTGTTAATTCTCTAGTGTGAGTATTCTCCAGTTTCTTCATGTGGGCAATTAGGGCTATGAACTTTCCTCTTCACACTGCTTTCGAGGTGTTCCATAAGTGTGGGTGTGTTGTGTCTTCATTGTAATTGAATTCTAGGAAGACATTAATTTCTTTTTTTATTTCTCCTGTGACCCAGGAGTGGTGCAATTATGCACTATTCAATTTCCTTGAGTTTGCAGGTTTTCCGCGATTTGTGTTGTTGAAATCTAAATTTAAATCATGGTGTTCTGATAAGATACATGGAGTTATACTCATTTATTTTACTTGCTGAGGTTTGCTATGTTGCTAAGTATGTGGTCAACTTTTGAGAAGGTTTCACGTGGTGCTGAGAAGAAGTTATATTC